TCGCGCCAGCGAAGACATCTGGCATGCACGGATGGGACACCCAAGCAACACAACATTAAACAACACAATAAGAGCAGGAGTGCTCGACAAAGATCCACTACTACAGCACGACGGGAGAGAACTCCAACGAGTCAGAGGAACATGCTTCACCTGTCCTGAAGCCGACTTACCGCATCAGCCGTTCGTCCCTCACCACAACCCAAGCGCACCAGCTTACGCACCACTCGAAAAGGTGTACAGCGACATCCTGTACAATCGCGTACCAGGACAAGGAGCCTACAATTACACCATCACCTTCATCGACGCCGCCACAAGATACGTCTGCCACTTGAATCTCCCGAGCCGCGACATGGCTTTCGAAGCCTTCGTTGCCTGGCTTCCAGCAGCAGAACGAGAATCTGGGGTGAAACTAAAGAGCTTTCAGTCAGATGGAGGCGGAGAATACACCTCACAACGCTTCAAAGACTACCTGGCAGAAAAGAGTCATCTCCCTTCCTTACGCCCATCAACAGCAGGGTGTAGCAGAAAGGATGAACAGGACTCTCCAGAACACCATGCGCAAGCTGCTACGTGGCATGCGGCTACCCAACCACCAGTGGCCCGAAGCAATGGACCATGCTGTGATGCTGCACAACTTGCTCTCATCATCATCGCTCCCGAACAACGCATCACCGCATCTGCTGTGGACAGGAAAACTGGGCAGCACAAAAATGTTACGAGTTTTCGGCTGCATGGTACAGTACCGACCCCCAGCTGCACGAGCCGGCCGATTCTCCCAACGCGCACAGTGGGGACTACACCTGGGCATCGAAAAGAATTACAACGCATGGAAGATTTTCGACGTTCACACAAAAGAAACAGTGGCAGCACGTGATGTCATTTTCTACGAACGACTCACCCTCGACTCCTACCAAGCCAACTTGGAAGAACAGCAAGACCTCACCAGTGGATTTCGTAAAGACCGAGCCTTCGCTTCGGCAGCCGACGAAGCTGACTTGGACGAGCAAAACGTAGATGGAGCCTCGGAAGAAGCCGGACCACTCCCATACTGCTGGATGGATATACCGATGGATGACGACAATCCTCACGAAAGTGTCAACGCCAAAGTCTTCTACGACCTCGCCGACGAGGGTTACGTTACACCTGCACAAGTCAACACCAACGAAGCAGAACGCATAGGACCAAACTTCATACCCGATCCAGAAACGGGAGACGAAGCAGTCTATCCCGAGGATACAACACTCCCCCGCTACACACAGAGTGGACTCCAGAGTCTCGGCCTCGTCACCGCGGTTCACGGCACGGCGATTCCTAAGGAGCCTGCCACGGTTCAGCAGGCTCTGGGGGGGGAGCATAGGGAAAAATGGCGCGAAGCCATGGACAGAGAGCTGAAAGCGTTGGAGGAACGCAATACCTGGAAAGTCGTTCCCATAAGCGTGGCACAAAACAAAACGATCCTTACCAGGAAATGGGTCTTCCGTGTGAAGACAAAGGCGGATGGCACCATCGACAAGTTCAAAGCACGCTGGGTCGTACGCGGCTTCGACCAAGAACACGGACGCGACTTCACCGAAACGTTCGCTTCGGTCAGCCGACACACGTCATTTCAAATTCTCCTCGCGATCGCCGCCATGAAGAAGAAGAAGCTGCGGCAAATTGACGTCGCCAACGCATTTCTCTACGCACCTGTCGACGCAGAAATCTTCGTCGAGTTACCGCATGGCTCCAGCACGGACTCCAACCACGTCTGTCAGCTACTCAAGTCCTTATACGGCATTAAGCAAGCCCCGCGGTTATGGCAACAATACCTGCACGCTCGCCTCATTCGCATCGGCTTCAAGCAGCTACCGCACGATCAGGGCATGTACCGGCTCACGAAAGGCACCGATTACATCCTGCTAATCGTCTACGTAGACGATATTCTCTATATCGGTTCGACCGACAGTGTCACAACCTGGTTCGAAGGGGAGCTACAGAAGGATCTCACACTCACGGTCTCGTCCACCGTCACACAATACCTCGGCCTCAACATCCAGGAAGAAGAAAATGCGATCTACCTCAGCGCCGCGAAATACACAGACACCATCGCCAAGCGCTTCACACTTACGCCGACTGCCATCTCCACGCCATACCGCTATACGGCAGGAAACAACAAGGAAGGCTCTGCTCTACTCAAGCTGGGATGCCTCCTCTTCGCAGCTGTCACCTGCCGTCCAGATCTATCATACTCCGCGAGCCAGCTCGCCACCTACCTTAAGAAGCCCGAAGCAGATCACATGGCAGAACTCGACCGCGCTCTTCACTACCTCGTCAGCACCCCGACCATCGGCCTAACCTACCGCAAGAACGGAACCACGACCCCTAAGCTAATCGGCTACGTCGACGCCGATCACGCCGGCGACTCCGACAACAGGCGCTCGCGCACCGGCTACATCTACCGCTTCGAGCCTATCGGTCCTATCTCCTGGCAGTCGAGCAAGCAGGAACTAATTGCTCTCTCCTCAGCCGAAGCAGAATACATCGCACTCTGCTCAGCCACCAAGGAAGGACTCTATGTGAAGATTCTAGGCAAGAATGATGGTAGTAGGTTTAGGAGCCATAGGCTTAGAGGCCAGTAGCTAGGGCTTAGGGTTTCTGGAAGAGAATTGAAGAAGGAAGTGATTTGGACTAGGAGCAGTAGGATACAAATAGGAAACCCTAATGGGCTATACTTGTCAGAATGTTATTATTGTCTAGCTTGTAGTGGGGTGCTCTATAGCGAGTACAACCCAGTTAGGGTTTGCTATATGTACCCCAACTGCTGCTAGTGAAACCCCTCTCCTTTCAATCATTCTTGCCTAGCCTTCTTGACATGCTATCAGAGCAGGTCGACCCCCTTGGGTCGATCCTGTGGGTGGGCCCGCCACCTAACTGCTTCCGCTGCTATTCTGCTTCTCGCACGCCTTGGGCGCGCCGTCTTCTTCCTGCCGGGTTTAGGGTTTAGGCGGCGAAAAATTTTAGGGTTTTTCATCCCGCCGTGCGCTCAGGGCGTACGGCGGTTTTCTGCCCGCCGTGCGCCCCGAGGCGCGCGGCGGTTTCCTGCCCGTCGTGGCGCCCCCGGGGACCTGCGCGCTGCCCCCCGTCGTCCTCCTCCCGTCGCCTCGTCGCGGCGCCCTGGGGGCCCGCGCGTCCCCCCCCTCCCGTCGCCTCGTCGCGGCACCTTGGGGGCCCGCGCGCCGCCCCCTCCCGTCGCCTCGTCGCGGCGCCTAGGGGGCCCGCGCGCGGCCCCTCCCGTCGCCCGTCGAGCCGCCCTCGGGGGCCCGTGCGCGGCCCCCCTCCCGTCACCCGCCGTGGCGCCCTCGGGGGGCCCGCGCCCTGCTTCTTCGTGGCGCCCAAGAGCCACCCCGCCGCCTCCCTTTCCCTCCGTGCCCCGCCCCTGCTGTTTCCCGCGCTCCTGCCTGCGTTAGGGTTTGGGGGTGGCGGGCATGGGGGTGACCGGTGTGGGTAACCTGCGGCTCCTCCTCCTCCTCCTCCGTCTCCCACTGCTGCAGCTGCCGCTGAGGGGGGTGGGTGTGTGGGAGCCGAGGGTTTAGGGTTTAAGGGGGGTGCCGTGGATGTGGAGCTAGGGTTTCAGCAGGGGGTGTGTGAGAGGGGCGTGGGACGGTCGGGGGAGGTTGCGTGGAGGTAGCCGTCGTGACGCCAGCAGCGCCAGTAGTCCGGATGCCCTCGCGCGTTTCGGTAGCCCAGCGAGCCTGCTTCGCCAGTCGCCTGTGGGTCCGTTGCTCCTGTGTGTGCTCGTCGTAGCCGCGGAGCCAGATACTCCCGTAGTCCGGTGCCCTCGTGCGCTCGGTAGCCACTGTGCGCGCCGCTCCTGTTGCCCGTGTGTCTGCAGCTTCAGTCGGCGCCTTTCATCTTCTCGCCCTCACAGTCTCTCCTCCTCCTCACTTGCCCTCTATGATCACCTCTAGCTTTGCTTATAATTGTGAACTATTGCTATGCCTGCTCATTGTACTGATTACACCCCACTTTGGCTATGGGGGTGTGTCAGAATGTTATTATTGTCTAGCCTGTAGTGGGGTGCTCTATAGCGAGTACAACCCAGTTAGGGTTTGCTATATGTACCCCAACTGCTGCTAGTGAAACCCCTCTCCTTTCAATCATTCTTGCCTAGCCTTCTTGACAGTACTCGCTATAGAGTACCCCACTGCAGGCTAGACAAACATAACATTCTGACACTCTACCTTCGCGAACTACTGGAAGAAGCAAAATTGGCTCAGTTACCCAACTTCACCCTGTTCTGCGACAATCAATCGGCAATTCGCATAGCCAACAAGAATGGCTTCGCGAACAGAACGAAGCACATCGCCCTGCGATACTTCTTCGTGAAGGACGAGATCGAGAAGGGGAGACTCGAGCTGTCATACTGCCCCACGTCCGAGATGGCAGCTGACTACTTGACCAAAAAGCTCGGAATGCTGAAATTCGAGTACTGCATGGTGCCGACGAGACAAGACCACGTCATCAACGAAGAGCGACACTCCAGAAGCGAAGGGGAGTGTTGGAAACAATTGATTTAAAGCGCTTCTGTCGTGGCGAAACACCAAGTCACAAGCGAAGCAAAGCATATCGAAGCACCGGCGAGTCAACCCTCGGAGGTTGAAGTAACCGCTGGAGGTTACGCGAAAGTCAAAGGTCAGCGACCTTTGACCTGACTAGTACAGTGCGACAGCAAGGACACACAACTGACTCGTTACAGAGCAGTTGCCCGAGTCGTCACTGTATCGAACCGCAACAGCAACAATAAAACAGTTATAGCTGTATCCTTTCATATTCCTTGTACTCTTATATAATCTTGTATCTCTTTGCTTTAATCAACTTACTTTGCCCTCACACACTAGCGCAAGGTGGTTCACAATCTCATCATTAAACGCTTCCGCTATTACATCGTTCCTACCCAGAGTTCACCCCTGCAAAGATCCTAAGGGCTTTTTCAGCCCAACACAATTGACCCATGACCTCAACTAGTTCAGCAGTGGTTTTTTACATTGCATCTTAATCTGTCTGCCCCCTTTGATAGCATCGCCTATACTTTTTCCCCGCCTTTTCACCCCTTTGATACCCGCTTCAACCGCCTCACCAGCATCTTCTCCAATCTTATCCATTTTTTTCCCCACCTTCTTTGCCACTCTAGTACCTCCCTTCCCCACATCTTCCATATCCGATTTCAAGTCTTTGGCCTTGCCCTCAACCCATCGATGAATCTTCTTTCCAATTCCTTTCACCTCCTCCACATTTTCCTCTCCCCAATCCCTCGCCCTATCAACATGCTCCTTTACGGCCTCTGCTGCCTCTTCCCCACCCTCCTTCACTGCATCCAACGCCTCCTCCCTCTTCTCCTTCACTGTCCGACCAGCATCCTTCCCCCACGCCCGCAATGCCTTCCGCACCCCCCCACCCCACTCCCTCACCGCCTCATCAGCTCCATCCCACCAATCCTTAATTTCCCGAACGCTCTCGTTTAAAGCCCTCTCCACATCCTCCTTCCACTCACCCATCTCCTCCAGCGCTCCTCTGAACGCCTTTTCCACGGAATCAGGGGATTTTTGGAGCGCTTTGATGAGACGGGGTGCGATGGGGAGGAGCAGCGGGATGAGCTTCACCAGAAGCTGAACCACGGAGTGTGACTGGGGTGGGGCGAAGTGGAGCAGCAAAAACAAGCACACCTCTGTCATGCTCAAGGTTGGAAGCTTTTCGGATGAATCGAGGTCGGTTGGAGGCGGAGATTTGGATTCCTTGCTGCTCTTCATCTTGTGCCTCAAGTCTTGAAGTTGCGTCGCCAACCTCTTCATCCTCGATACGTTATCAATCTCGCTGCGCCGAGTCATCATCGCTGGTCTTGCCGGTCTTGTTACTCCGCATGCCTTTTAACGCACCAAGCCCCTCTCGTAGCTGCCTTCTCGCTTTGGGGTTCCCCATGGCTGTCTCTGCTGTGAAAGCAGCGGAGCCTGCGGCGGTCGCCTAACTCGATGACTCACAGCACGTCGATGCAAAGCTCACGACGAGATCGAACGACAGGAGAGCCTCTGCTGGCTGGACTATGGGACTGCGTGCCGACTCGGATGAATGAATAAAGGTGCTGGATCGGTAACAAGAACCGGTCCGTGTTTTCCAATAAGAAAAAGGTCCGCTTTGAAAGACGAGATGAGAGGACTAGTCTTGCAAACGTCTAGCTCGCCGACTCCAGTAAGAGGTGTAAGGGGTAGTTTGAACAGGAATGGACATGTCATTTTGAGAAACAGCGCTCCTATCATCTAAACAGGAATGGACATGGCGGCATGAAAGGGTTGGCTGGAAATTGCTTGGCGAAGAATAGCGAAGGCAGATTGCGTGAATCATCTAGCATGGAAGCAAGATGCGCCTCGAATAAGCTGCGGCACAGAAAGCGAGGACGTGAGGGGGACAAGGGCAGTCTAGCCTCTAGGCGTGAGATGCCAAGAAAGTGGGTCATGCGGGCGTGAAGACATATGCGGCCCTCGCCAACACAAAATCGACGGGCGGAGTTGAGCGAAAATGAATGCGGGAGAGTATTGCGTTAGGAGAGAGACACATTATATGGAAGGAACTGGTATTGCTTTACATGTTTTGAGTCGTACAATTTCGTATTCTTGGGGTCTAATCGATTTTCCTCAAAACGTGCCAAACCAAGAATTGTAGTTTACAGCTAATTTTACATTGAAAATAGCACATCGCTTTTTATTACTGGCAGTTGCATTAAAATATGGAGGCGACGAGAACACGGCACTTGGGCGCCTTGCCATCTTAACCACCCTGAACAGCTTTGCCTATTCCTTCTCCCCACCTTTTCATCCCTTCAACACTCCCTTGAACCGCCTCACCAGTGTCTTTTCCAAACCTATCCATTCCTTCCCCCATCTTCTTAGCCACCCTCCCTCCCCACTCTCCCATCCCTTCAAACGCCTCACTTGCATCTTTCCCAAACTTATCCATCCCTTTTCCCATCCCCTCCGCCACTCCCCCTCCCCACTCCCCCACGCCTTCCATACTCGCTTTCACCTCTTCTGCCTTACCTTCTCCCCATCGATTAATCTCCGCCCCCATCCCTTTGACCGCCTCCGCATTCCTCTCGCCCCACTTACTCATCTCTTCCATATGCTCCTGCACTGCCTGCCCAGAGCTCTCCCCCCACGCCTTCACAGCCTTGCCCACATCCTCTCCCCATGCTTTCAGTGCCTCATCCGCCCCATCCCACCACCTCTTCATCGCCTCAACACTTCCTGCCAAAGCTCTATCCGCCTCCTCCCCCCACCGGCCCATACCCTCCAGCACTCCTTTGAACGCCTCTGCCACGGACTCACATGACTGACAGAGGAGTTTGAGGAGGTGGTGCGCGATGGGGAGGAGCAGCGGGATGAGCTGCACGAGGAACCGAACCACGAAGTGCGACTCAGGAGGGGTGAAGTTGAGCAGCAGAAAGATACAAAGCTCGGACATTTTGAAAGGTGAAACCGCTTCAGCTGAATTGAGGTCGGTGGAATGCGGTGACTCGGATTCATCGCTGCTCTTCATTCTGTGCTTCAAACCCTGAACCTGCGCTTCCAACCTCGTCATCTCGTCATCATTCCTCTCGCTGCTTCCTGGGGAGTCATTGGCGTCGCAGGTCTCGTCACCCCTCATGCCTTTCAACGACCCAAAATCCTCTCGGCTTCCTTTGTTCGCCTTGGAGCTCCCCATCGTCGTCTCTCTCTCACAGATGCAGCGAGGCCTGGGCGATTCGTCTCATTTAATGGCTCAAGAGTCAAGGCACGCCAACGCAAAGCTCGGTTCGCCTATCAGAGAGTCCGATTCGCGGAAGAACCTCTGCGGGCTACCTGAATGGGTGTCGATAGGAAGTAGACCGTGCTTAACGATAACAGCGACTCGCTGGAAAGGGAATGACCTCTTGGAGAGTTGCCTTATGAGACGAAAGGACTGAGCTCAGAAAGGCTGGCTCGCAGCGGTGAGAGCCAAAGCGGGAATTCGAGAAAAGCAGACAGACACGGCTGCACGCTCGTATTGGGTAAAAACCTGGTGGCGCAGAATAGCGATCGCTGAATTGAAGGATAATCATGGCAGCGCAGCGAACCAGTCAGACGCATTTTGAACAGCAACGGTTCTTGTCACACGAAATGGCGCCACGTGGGAAAGCACGATTGCGGACGTAAGTAAGGCGAGGAGATGCAATCGCTAATATTGAAGGGTGCGCGTCATGCAAAATGGGAGCTCTGCGGGCATGAAGAAGACGGGCGATGCTCCTTTTTAGGGCGTGCTACATGTTTTTACTTTTTCGTCCGGACGGGCCACCGTCCGAACGACTGTGTGGTTACAAAACTCGTTAAATATCGGCAGTGAGTTCGTCAGGGTCTAAACGACATCGCATGCTTCGTTTTGCCTACTTACGACATCATATTGGTCGCCATGCGACCGCGCGACGTCGCAATCTTCGCACGCGTTCGGACCAACGTCCGGACATTCAGTGATTTTGAAAAATGTAACACGGCCTTAAGTAGACGCGGGGAGTGAGATTGGGAACCAAGAAATATGCACTCGCGAGAGTCACTTGCACTCGCCTTTGAGTGCTTGCGTACTGTTAGAATCTACTCGTAACATGGACACTTGTATCTCTTGTACCGATTATGGCAATTATGGAGCCATGCTTTCCTTAAGATTCCTCCGCATACCTGCCCTTTTCAAAGCTGCAACCCAACAACCTATGTAATGATGGAGGAGCACAGCGACGAACCAATATGTACGAACCATTTGCATACACAACAGCCACAATAATCTTCGATAAAAAAACTTCCACACTCTTTCAATATCCTACATCCTCCCACCACCACCACCAACAGCCTACTTCTTCTTGCCAACCTTGCCCTCCTTGCGCCGAATGACCTCGTCCGCATACTTGATACCCTTGCCCTTGTACGGCTCCGGCTCCCTCCACTTGCGCACCGCCGCTGAGAAGTCACCCACCGCCACCTTGTCCCGCCCGCTGATGGTGATGCGCGTGTTCTCCTCCACCTTCACTGCCACGCCATCAGGGACCTTCATGCGCACCTATGCAATGGGAGAAGAAGGAAGGGGCAAAGAGGAGAGGAAGGTAAAATGATTAATCGCCCACCGCCACCTTGTCCAGCCCACTGATGGTGATGCACGTGTTCTCCTCCACCTTAGCGGCAATGCACTTAAGGACTTTCACGGCCACAGCCGTTGCCATGGCTACCATGTGCGATTGTTCCCAATCACACTGTGAGACATTGTTTGGTGCCATCTGTGACAGCGCAGTTCCATATGATCACCTTATTGTGCGCACCTGGCCATGAACGAATCTGTGCTCTTGTATATGTGTATCAGGTGAACCAGCGACAGCAGATGGCTCACCTCGTGCGAGAGGCCCAGTGTTAAGAACAAGCTCCGACTTGTTATTGGCCGCACAATACCCCACTTTTTGAACACCGTGTGGTGCATTTTGCATCTGCGCGGTTTCACACCTAGGTGATTTGTGTGCTGTGTGCATCTGGAGACTCACCTGGTGCGATAGACCGAGGTTAAGAACAAGCTCTGTCTTGTCAACGGCCAAACGGTACCCCACTTAAAGCCCGGTTTGAACATCCTGTGGTGCATTTTGCACCGGCGGGGTTTCAAGCTGGGTGTGGTGTGAGTCGACTGGAAACCCAGCGAGAGGAGAGGCCGAGATTGAGAACAAGCTCTGTCTTGTCCCTGCACGGTACCGTGGGGTGCACGAGCAGATGGCTCACCTGGTGCGAGAGACCCAGGTTAAGCACGAGATCGGTCTTGTCAACGGCGGCACGGTACCCCACTCCCACCAGCTGCAGCTTCTTCTCAAACCCCTTCGCCACGCCCTGCACCATGTTGTCCGTCAGCGTGCTGCGGGAGAAGGGGAGGAAGGGGTAAGGAGTGGAGGTAAGGATAAGGGCAGAGGGGAGGTCGTGACGCGAGTGCTAACGTGACGCTTGCGAGGATGGGAGTAAAGATGCTCGGGTGAGTAGAAATGAAAGGGGAAATAGGGAGGGGGGTGCGAGAGAGAGAGAGAGAGAGAGAGGGGAAGTGGCGGAGGCAGAAAGAAGTGGGATACGCAGGGAATGCAGATAAGCGGGAAATACGCAAAAGTTCTGAGAAGGAAGCAAGCGAGGGAGTGGGAGGCCGAAGCGAGGGGATAGAGAGAGCAAGAAGTAATGCGGAAATGTGAGGACCAGAATATGCTGCTGCTACTTCTCCATACTGTTACTCCCTGCGCGAATGCAACCACAGCTGTTTGTAGTGCTGCGAGAAGAAAGAGGAAAACCCGTCACGCATTGAATCCAGCTCCGTGATCGAGACGCACCACGTCTTTGTGAATACAGTTACTTGCGATCAGAATTCTCTTAGCTAGGGAACTTTTCACTCTCTTTCTTAATTTCTTTCTCTAGTACTGCTGCCCTTCCGCCATGAGTAACGACGACCCGTGGGACTACGCATTGATTCCAGCTTCGTGATCGAGACGCACTATGTCTTTACGACCCACAAACACCCGCCCTCCAAACACCACCACTGAAACACGTCCCGCAACTTGCCGCTTCCTACCGCTGCTTCCCACGAGGCCGACCGCTTCTATCGCACGGACTCTTCGCTATCTCCCAGACCCGCAACCCTCCCAGCTGGGGCTACTCCCACGCGCAAGCATGCGGTTTACAACCCTAGTCCCGCCAACACGATCCAAAAGCCCTGCTTCCGCCTGCCTGTGTCCCACGAGCAAGCATGCCTTTTCAACCCTAATCACTAGCCGCTGACTGCCGCTGACTACCTCGGTCGCTGCCGCCTGCTCGCCACAGCATGTGCTATTGTAAGTGACGGCTTCGAGTCTAGGCGGCTCCCATAGCCGTTAAACCGAAGCAACTTCGCACCGTGATGGTAACGATGAGAAGATGGCGAAGGTTGGCGGTTTCTGATGCAAAAGATTGGCGGCGACCTTACTGTTAGAAAAAAAAAAATGGGAGCTCAGCGAGAAAGACTCACCGGAAGAGTCCGTGCATGGCGCGGGCCTGCCGCGTCTCGAGCGCGCGGTTGACGGTGATGACGCCACCCTCCTCGCTCAGCCGCACCTCCCGCGGGTACTCCCTCGACAGCTCGCCGTTAGGCCCCTTCACCACTAACGACTGGCCGTCAAGTTTGATCGTCACGCCGGCCGGCACGGGGATGGGTTTCCGGCCGATTCGTGACTCCTTGCAGACAATGCGGCCGGCTAGCAGGCCTTGCTGGTTGAGGGTCTGGGAGGAGGCTGCTGCTGACGTGGCACGCAGAGATTGGGGCTCGCCAATGAACGAGCTCCTGAGAGGAGAGACGAGGCGAGAGACACAGCAGGGGACGGAATAGGGATCGGACGGGAAGAAAAGGGAGGGAAGGAGGACAAGGAGCGTGACGGGTGGGAATCAAGAGTACGGTGAAAAAAGAAACGGAGGGAGGAGATGAAGAGTAGTGGCGCGGGAGGAGGGACGCATTAGGAACGAAAGGGCCGAGGGTCTTGGTAGAGAGAGAATGGACAGATAGAAAACAAAAACGAGATCTACAACCGAGTTTGGCGACGGCTGTGGATAATGTGCGGCAACAATACGAAACAGGGTTTTGAAAGCAACGCGTCTAAAGCACGCTACATTGCACCCCCTCAACGCCACTCGGTCGAATCTAAAAACGGAGTTCCTAAACCTGTCCTCCTCGTTTGACGTCCGGCGAAACATGGAAGACCTAGTCGATGTCGGGAACAGACTACGTAAGTCGAGCCGCCATAGTAGCAGGAGCGTCATGAAACAGCCTAAATAGTAGCGCATTTTTTTGGAAAATCGTATCGAACGGTTCACGAGCTCGCTGGTCGCGAAGATATACGACGGACGGTGGGTGTAGAGGGTAGCCTGCATCCACCAGTGACAGCTCGGCGTTGATGCCTTGTATCCTGACTTGAGACCTAAAGCCCAAAAAATTACCAAATGGCGAACCTCCGTCGAACCTGACCTCACTACGGACAATGCAAAGAGCGGGCGGAAAGCAATCTGAAATTCTGACACGCCCTGTCTCGAATCGGCTCAGGAGACGACTAAACTGGGCTCAGGCAAGGTCGCAGTCAAGGTGATAATATCCCCGTAAACCCGCACCTCAAGGTTACTCTGTCAATGGTGGCAGACTGAAGCACCGTGGACCCCGCCATTGCGACGCGGCTTCGCTGGCGCGGGGTAAGAGGTACGCCAAAAAGGTGAGAGTCACGCTAAGAGGCTCTCTAAACAAAATTCTCAGGTTAGGTCGAGAAGCTGGATTGGAGAGCTGCAAGCGGCGAGGACGGAGAGGAAAGGGAGCGGAAGGGGAAGGGGGATTGGAAGGGGAAGTTACGGGGCAAGGTAGCCGCCGCCGCGGAAAAATAAACAGGTTGGGAACACGGTGGTGAGGGATGCTGATGGGTTAGGATTGCATTTTCGGCGAATAGCGGGAAAGGGGAAGCGGAAAGGGGAATGGGGAAAGGGGGAAACGGAGTGGGTGTTCGCGTAAGGGGAAGCGGAAAGGCAAGTCATGATGGTTGCGGGGATGAGGGACCAGATAGAGAAAATGCGGACGTGGCGTACTCTCGGTAAGGGGCAGGCTGACGTGACAAGAAACCTGTGGTTGTACCCTTTTCAGACGCTTATTCATAAGTACCGGTACTCGGTTCTGGAGCGTAGTTTCACGTACACCCAGATTTATATTTGTAAAGAACTTGTTTTCCATACTTCTGGTCATCCTACCGATCATCCTCCAAACCATGTTTAGTACAGCTCACTCGCCTTGCGGCCGCTCTTACCCATCACGACCACGCTGGATTCACACATCTGCTATATTCGTAACATCACACCCAAGCCACACGCCTAGGCCAGTAACATGCAAACCGACTGTTGGAATAACCGAAAGGTTATAAGCATTCCTGAAGATATTTAACTGTACCAGTACCGCATTAGCTCATATAGAGCACGCGGAAGGTCGAGGGTCACCCGAAGGTCAACCGTCGAGAGAAGTCAACGGTCGTGACCCTTGACCACCCAGTAACCGCGCGACAGTTGTTCGCTGCAACATTGTAACTGTCAAGAATAGCAATAGTCGTGGTTACTGTAGCTATGCAATACAGTTAATAAGGGAATGTACCCCTCAGAGTACATGGCTAGCTAGTTTGCTATTAAATCTACTGTACTCCTATCTTTTAATCATCTTGTTCTCTTTCAACTATTACTCAACAAGGTCACTACAGAGACTTTATTGTCTCCTCTCAGACTTAACAGATCTTATCCTATCTACTTGATTCTTGGTTATATCAGCATGGTATGAGAGCTAGAGTGGATTATAAGATCTGCCAAGTCCTCGTTCTTCCTAGAACAATCTTGTTATAAAGTTACTCAATACATTTCAAGGTCTGCAATACTATGGCTCCTGAAGGAAAAGCCACTGCAGACTCACCGGGCCCACCACCAGCAACTACTAACGTACCATCAGCGGTGACCTCCGTCAGCGCCGCTGTCGTTGAGCAGCTAGTCGCACGCATCAACGCCCTTGAAAGCCATCAAGCAATGAGCGTTGATGGCTCAAGCTATGCACGTGGAGTTGCTGGACTTCCTCTCCCTGGAGAAGACCGCCGCGTCAACTCCGAGAGATCTTTCACCTTTGACAATCGTCAAGGTTCAGCTCCTGCACAAGACAACCCACAACGAGCACAGTCAGAAACAATCGCTTCCATGCAAACTAAGTTTGTACTGACTTCAAAATTGAAGACCTCAATTCCTTTTGACGGCAAGGATTTCTACACGTGGAGCTTCGAATTTGAACTTCTCGCAACAACCGCTCAAATCTGGATGTACTACGACGGAAGCTTACCTTTCCCTTCGGAAGGCACCATCCAGGAGAAGCATCAATACTACCACGAATCCCTCCTCGCGTATACCGCTCTCCTTCGAAGCATCTCTCCCGAAGAACAGCTCGGCATCCGCCCCTACAAGACGGAGTGGGCTCCGCGCACGCGTCCTGGGAACACCTGCGCAACTCATACATGGCAACAGATCCAGTCACAATGAGTCGCCTGCTCAGCCAGCTAACTTCGGTTAAAATGAAGCAAGGGGAGAAAGCGGGACCGTATGTTAACCGGTGCCGCAATCTGCGCGATCACGTCAAAAAGTGCGGTGTGACCGTTCCCGACGACATGTTCATCTCGATGGTCATCTCTGGTCTCGGCCCCGACTGGCGACAATGTCAGTCACTCCTGCGCGCCCGAGCAACGATTTCGGAGTCGGCTCTGTGCGCCACGCTTCTTTCCGAGCAAAAGGAGATCGACCTGTACAACGAGAAGAACGTCAAACGGGAGAAGTTAGTCTTCTACACAGGAGCATCACAAGGGGAGCAGCGCGGAAAGAAAGGAGCTTTCTGCAAATACTGCAAGAAGTCTGGCCACACTATCGACCAGTGCTACAAGTGTCAAACACTGGCGAGCGTGCGCGTCACGGGTCTGCCACTGTGAGCGCTCAGCTGGGGGGGCAGTAGCGAGTGGGGCGGTCGCATGGCCGAGAGCGTGGTCGTACAGAGTAATATCTTCCTTGGCAGTGAGCTGTAGGAAAAGGTGCAGGTCATCTAGCCAGGTTTCGAATTTGACCGGACGGCCCTCGGCGTCGAAAGCTAGAACAGGAGGACTAGCCATAGCGACAGCGGCAGTAGTAGAAGCAGTAAAGTCACTGAACAGGCGTGCGCAGGGTCAGCAGGGCCGGTGGGGCCTACGGACTGTAGTGGCGCACAAGTAGCAGTAGTAGGAAGTGAGTGGTATGCGCGGCGCAGCGTCACCTGTCAGTACGTTATTCGTACAGGTGACCGCACTGGCCAGACGTGTGGGGGGCCGCACCAGACGGAGCGCTGCTTCGCCCGCCTCAACGATGCGTGGCGCACTCAGTTTCCTGGTGGGGGTGAGCTGCCGCGCTGGGCTGATCTGCTCAGGAAGGGTGTTGATATTTGGGCACTTGACTTTGATGCTATTCTCACTGCCATGTATGCGATGTCTATTAGTGGAGAGGGTGCTCAGTACTTGCGTGTTCCGCCCGACCCGGGCATTCAGGCCAGCCCCGCTGCTGCTCTAGGTGCTAGTGTGTCTGCTTCCGCAGGTACTTCTGCAGCTGCTGCTCTAGGTGCTTGTGCGTCTGTGCCCCCTGGTACTGAGTCGACTGCAGCACTGCACACCTTCACACTGGACTCAGGTGCTTCTCGCTCTTTCTTTCGTGACCGCACTGTCCTTGAGCCTCTAGCTCGGCCGGTTGCTGTCTCTCTTGCTGACCCCTCTGGGGGTCCGGTCCTTGCGACCTCCTCCACCACCCTTCCGTGTCCAGCGGTTCCGTCCGGCACGCTCTCAGGTCTCTACCTCCCCTCGTTCTCCACGAACTTGGTGGCAGGTAGTGCGCTCCAGGACTCGGGTGTTCACCAGTTCACCCCTGCCTACGAGCGTGTGACTCACTGCACGTGTGCTCGGACGGGCCGCCACCTAGCTACTTTCACTCGAGAGCCGGGGTCTGACCTGTACACACTGACCACTGAGTCCCCTCAGGTAGCTGCGTCTGCGTCAGCGTCAGGTCAGCTGTCCGCCCCCTGCTCGTGTCGCTCTCTGGCGAACGACACCGTCCTCTGGCACCACCGCCTTGGTCACCCGTCTGTGCAGCGCCTGCGGGCCATGCACAAACGGGACCTTGTTGCTGGTCTTCCCAGGGTGCTCCCTCCCCTTCCTGACTCCCCTGCTCCTGACTGCATTCCCTGTGTCGAGGGGCGGCAGCGCGCCGCTCCTCACTCCTCCTCCTTTCCCCCGACGACCGCTCCCCTGCAGACGCTCCACATGGACGTGTGGGGCCCGGCCCGCGTCCGTGGTCAGGGTCAGGAGAGGTACTTCCTGATAGTTGTTGACGACTACTCGCGCTACACCACGGTCTTCCCCTTGCGCGCCAAGGGTGACGTCCCTGGTGTTTTGATCCCCTGGATCAGCCGAGCCCGTCTCCAGCTAGGCGAGCGCTTTCACTCGGACTTTCCTGTCCTGCGCTTGCACTCTGACAGGGGTGGTGAGTTCGCCTCCGACCTCTTGGCAGCCTACTGTGCTGAGCACGGCATTGAGCAGTCGTACACGCTTCCGGCCTCTCCACAGCAGAATGGGGTTGCTGAGCGCCGCATTGGCTTAGTCATGGAGGTCGCTCGTACCTCCCTGACCCATGCGGCTGCTCCCCACTTTCTGTGGCCGTTTGCGGTCCGGTACGCAGCGCATCAGCTCAACCTCTGGCCCCGTGTCTCCTTGCCGGAGACTTCCCCGACTCTACGGTGGACGGGAGAGGTTGGCGATGCGTCGCGTTTCCGGGTCTGGGGATCTCGAGCTTTTGTCCGCGACACGTCCGCGGACAAGCTCTCGCGTCGCACTGTTCCCTGTGTCTTTCTTGGCTTTGTTCCCGACGCGCCTGGATGGCAGTTTTACCACGTCACCTCGCGCCGGGTTCTGGCCTCTCAGGACGTCACTTTTGACGAGTCCGTCCCCTTCTACCGCCTCTTCCCCTACCGCACTGCCCCGCTCCCCCCCCCACCTCTCTTCCTCGCTCCAGGTGCTGAGGTACCAGACCCCCTCCCCCCTCAGGGTGCCGCTCCCTCAGGTGTGTCCCAGGTAGACCCGGGTGAGCCTGTCGAGGTAGCTGTTGACTCGCGTCCTGCGTCTGGGGGTGCTGAGCCTGGGAGTGCTGCGTTTGAGGGTGCGGAGCCTGGGGGTGCTGAGCCTGGAGGTACGGAGCCTGGAGGTGCGGAGCCTGGAGGTACTGAGCCTGGAGGTGTGGAGCCTGGGGGTGCTGAGCCTGGAGGTTCGGAGCCTGGGGGTGCTGAGCCTGGAGGTGTGGAGCCTGGGGGTGCTGAGCCTGGAGGTGCGGAGCCTGGAGGTGCGGAGCCTGGAGGTGCTGAGTCTGGACGTGCTGAGTCTGGGGGTGCTGAGTCTGGGGGTGCTGAGCCTGAGCGTGCTCCACCTGGAGGAGACCCCTCCTCCCAGCAGCTGCAGGAGAGGTACCTCGAGTACTGCCGCCTCCGGAGAGGTGCTTCTGGAGCTCGTCCCGGTACTTCCCCTCCTACCCAGGAGCTCCCCCCCATTCAGGTGATCCGCGAGTGGTACACGCGGCGCTGCAGTCTTCGTAGTGGTGC